CCACTCCTATTCAATATAGTACTGGAAGTTCTAGCCAGAGCAATCAGGCAAGAAAAAGAAATAAAGGGTATTCAGATAGGAAAGGTGGGAGCCAAATTGTCTCTATTTGCAGATGACATGATAGTATACCTAGAAGACCCCATTGTCTCAGCCCAAAAACTCCTGAAACTGATAAGCAACTTCAGCAAACTCTCAGGATATAAAACCAATGTGCAAAAATCACAAGCATTTCTATACACCAATAACAGACTTAAAGATAGCCAAATCAAGAACAAACTGCCATTCACAATTGCTACAAAGAGAATAAAATACCTAGGAATAGAACTAACAAGGAACGTAAGGGACCTCTTCAAGGAAAACTACAACCCACTGATCAACGAAATAAGAAAGGACACAAACAGATGGAGAAACATTCCATGTTCATGGTTAGGAAGAATCGATATCGTGAAAATGGCCATACTTCCCAAAGTAATTTACAGAATCAACACTATCTCCATCAAGCTACCATTGACTTTCTTCACAGAACTGGAAAAAACCACCATGAACTTCATATAAAACCAAAAGCCTGCATAGCCAAGTCATTTCTAAGCAAAAAGAACACAGCGGGAGGCATCACACTACCAGACTTCAAACTATACTACAAGGCTACAGTAATCAAAACAGCATGGTACTGGTACCAAAACAGAGATATAGACCAATGAAACAGAACAGAGGCATCAGAGGCAACACAACATATCTACAACCATACAATCTTTGATACACCTGACAAAAACAAGCAATGGGGAAAGGATTCCCTATTTAATAAATGGTGTTTGAAAACTGGCTAGCCATGTGCAGAAAGCAGAAACTGGACCCCTTCCTGACACCTTACACTAAACTTAACTCCAGCTGGATTAAAGACTTAAACATAAGACCTGGCACCATAAAAACCCTAGAAGGAAATCTAGGCAAAATTATCCAGGACATAGGAGTAGGCAAGGACTTCATGAACAAAACACCAAAAGCATTGGCAACAAAAGCCAAAATAGACAAATGGGACCTAATGAAATCCACAGCTTCTGCACGGCAAAAGAAACAGTCACTAGAGTGAATCGGCAACCAACAGAATGGGAAAAAATCTTTGCAGTTTACCCATCTGACAAAGGGCTGATATCCAGAATTTACAAAGAACTCAAACAGATTTACAAGAAAACAAACAAACAAACCCATTCAAAAATGGGCAAAGGATATGAACAGACACTTTACAAAAGAAGACATATATGAGGCCAACAATCATATGAAAAAATGCTCATCATCACTGGTCATTAAAGAGATGCAAATCAAAACCACATTGAGATACCACTTCACACCAGTTAGAATGGTGATCATTAAAAAATCTGGAGACAACAGATACTGAAGAGAATGTGGTGAAGTAGGAACCCTTTTACGCTGCTGTTGGGAGTGTAAATTAGTTCATCCATTGTGGAAGACAGTGTGGCGATTCCTCAAGGACCTAGAAATAGAAATTCCATTTGACCCAGCAATCCCATTACTGGGTATATATCCAAAGAACTATAAATCATTCTACTATAAGGACACATGCACACTAATGCTCATTGCAGCACTGTTTACAATAGCAAAGACCTGGAACCAACCCAAATGCCCATCGATGATAGACTGGACTGGGAAAATGTGGCACATATACACCATGGAATATTATGCAGCCATCAAGAATGATGAGTTTGTGTCGTTTGTAGGGACATGGATGAATCTGGAGAACATTCTCAGCAAACTGACACAAGAACAGAAAATTAAATACCGCATATTCTCACTCATAGGTGGGTAATGATAAATGAGAACACATGGACACAGGGAGGCGAGCACTACACACTGGGGTCTATTGGGAGGAATACAGGAGGGCCAGCGGGAGGTGGAGCTGGGGACGTATAGCCTGGGGAGAAATGCCAAATGTGGGTGAAGGGGAGGAAGGCAGCAAAACACACTGCCACGTGTGTACCTATGCAACTGTCTTGCATGTTCTGCACATGCACCCCAAAACCTAAAATGCAATAAAAAAGAAAGAAAAATGCATAAGGAGAAATCAGTTATATTCCCATATGAAAATAGGACCTCCAAAAATAGACCAGAAATTGGCAAACGTTTCCCATAAAGGGTCAGATGATGAATATTTAGGCACTGTGAGGTGTAAGTCTCTACAGCAACTACTTAACATTGCCATTGGTAGTGATGAAGTAGCCATTGACAATAATGGTCATGGCTGTATTCCAATAAAACTTTATTTAAACAACAGATGGAAATCCTGATTTCCCCATCTACTATGGTTTGCTAACTCCTGTCATAGATCTTTGAGGAATGAAGATTTAGAAATGAGTTTTTTTGTGGGAGTATTTTGCAAGTTTATAACTTAAATAAGGGGTGAGCTAAAGGAGTTATTAATTTTTCTGTCTTGTACTTTTTTTCATCATCTTTCTTTTCCTTTCTCTGCTTCCCCAACTTTTTATAATTGGCATTATTTTTGCTTCCACACTGCAGACACATTCACTTCATTTGCTAAGACATTTATAGCTGACACTGACAGTCCTTAAGCTCCTCCAGAACCTCCATTCAATGTGGATTAGTCACCATTTAGACTTGTTTCCTTCCCATCTGTCAGACTTAATTTCTTGTAAAATGTAAAATACATTGTGCCATTTTAATATCAACTCAAACATCACTGATGTAGCAACTTCAATTGCTCAAATGCTTGTAATGGCCTAATTTAACACTATCTTTTATGAGTTGAACAAAAAGAAGCATGTACTTATAATGAGGCCCTGTTTGTATATATAAATAGTTGGCTTATATAGGGAATTGTGGTTTCTTTGATTGTATACTTGACTAAATCAAAAAAAAAAGTTATCTCTGTCATGCTTGATTCTTCTTAGACCAGAGTACTATGGGCATTACAGGGACAGTGGACTCACTGCTGCGGTTTTGAAATCTCATAGTATCTTCCATTTTAAACATTCTATTTAGTAATTTGTAAATACATAGCTTTAAAAGATTTCTGCTTTCATATTTCTTCCCAACTTGGCATCTGTTTTAAGCTTACATGCCTTCACTTCTAAGACATGGTGTCCTTGGATCCATGTGTCTGTCCTTTTTTATCCTCTGGGGCTTTGGTAGTATCTGTGACAATAGGTCATATTAAATACTAGGTTCCCTACCAGCTTCTGCTAATCAGCTCTGGCCAACACTGCAGGTTTTCTGTGATTCAGTCACATCTTCTACTTTATTTATGATTTATGCCATCCTACCTCACAACCTCCACTGTGGGGTCACCTTACCCCTTACCACAGTGAGGGATCTTCACAACAGGTCCATTGCCACTTTCTGTGTTTCTCACAAGAAACACACAGAAAGAAAAGGAAAACCCTTCCCTTTCTAAATTACAGGAGCCTGTGAAAATTTGGGGCATAATTCCTGGCAGCAGATTTCTCTGCTGAGCCTGCTTCAGATTGACAGAGAGAGACATTCTAAAATGGGGAAAAGGGGCAAATAGCTATTGTATTTGCTTGCTGAGGATACCATAACAAAGTTCTACAGACAGGATGGCTTAAACAACAGAAATTATTTTCTCATGTTCTGGGGAGCTGGACGTCCACGATCAAGGTGTCAGCCATGTTAGTTTCTCCAGCGACCTCTCTCCTTGGCTTGCAGACAGCTGCTGTCTTAGTGTCTCTCACATGGTCGTCCCTCTGTGCATGCATGCACCTGGTGTCTATTTGTATGTCCAAATTTCCTGTTGCTACAAGACCATCAATAAGACTGAATTACAGCCTACCCTAAGGGCTTCATTTAAACGTAATTACCTATTTAAAGACCCGTGTCCATATACAGTCAGATTCTGAGGTACTAGGGTGAAGGCTTCAACATGTGAGTTTGGGAGAAACACAATTTAGCTCATAATATCTGTATCTATCTATCTACCTATCTATCTATCTATCTATCTATCTATCTATCTATCTAGTCATTTCTATTTTCTTAACCCCAATAACAGGCATTTTGATATAAAAAGAGCCTTACATGTTTTACTTTCCTCTCTCCATTTCTTTCACCTCTCTCATTCTAGAAACTGTTAAATTTTAAAAAGTTTCCCTCTTCCCTCTTGATTCCCAGTGTCATATCCTCCTCTTTTCACTTACCTAGAAACATGCAGATAGGGGAATGTAAAATATAGACTGACAATACTATTATAATTACATATCTCTTCTTCTTGAGATAAAATATTAGAGGTAAATATGTAAAGCAAGATTCATATTTATAAAATGTTTCTGATGAAGTAAAACTTTTGAAATACTGTACAAATTAGAAAACCAATATATTAGCAATCTATAAAACAGTAAATGCAGGTATGAATTGGAAATAAGCAATACATATTTTCTAAACATTTTTGCTTTAAATACCTTTAAAATTCCAAGCATTATATGTTTCATGATATTGAAAAGGATTATAGACCATATCAAATAATTCTGCAAATCTCAAGGGGAATTACACATTTTCCCTTCAAGTAAATAAATGTTTATCTTAGTCTCCTGTGTATGGTTTTCTATAACATTCTACATGATTTCCTCACATCTCACAAGTATTTTTAAACGTAGTTTAAAGTTTTTTGTACACCAAGATTTTAGGTAATTAAGTTTGCCTCAAACACTGAATTGCATTTGCGAGAAATATACAAAAGGATTAAAACTAACAAAGAAGATTTGAAAAACATAAAGCTATCAGATCTAACTCTACCTCAGGAATTCTCATCTTTATTGTTAGGTATTGTGCAAATGCCTTAAACTGGGTTTAACTTAATATGAAAAATAGTTTCATCCTGTCAAGAATAAAATTAATTCAACCCCAATGATAGTAGATTCATTTAAATAAGAATAATTTTCACTACAAGCTTAGAGAAAATAAAGTTTCATGTGAGGGTAAATGTTTTGAGTTCAGACTAATATTAAAACTAACCAACCCTTTTGTGGTGCATGAGCATGATGGTTGGGTGTTCACATGCTTGTGTGAGACGTGCCACCCTCAGAACCTTGCTACAACATAGGCACATTACTCATCTGACCTGAACTTGGAAAAATAAAAATAAAATAAAAATATTAACAAACTAACCAAGAGGCTTTACCCAACAAGGCAAATGAAAGCACACAATGATAGTCATATTTCATGACAATCTCCATATAAAATGATTTTGGTATTATTTTTCTGATCATTCCTGGATTTTGCATATCACCTTCAATGTACCTAAATGTTTTAGAATGATACAAAATCATAAAGATTACCTATTCTCTACCTGTTGCTAAAGTAGAGAATTGTTATAATAGAGAATGAAATGTTTATCATTATTCGATTGAAGATTGTAGAGCTTTCAAAATCTCATAAACAACCAAATAAAAATTATTGGCATTGAAGTTTACCATATGCAACTCTTGCTGAGGTAGAGGTAGGTGTAGATAGATGATTAAAAGATAATGAGATAGATAGATGGATAGATGATACAACACAGGTAGTTTAGCAGGCAGTTAAAAAACTAAGTAGAGATATTGATGGTTGAATACACATGTATCTAAGAGAAGAAGCAGCTGAAGTAACACACTCTGAGAATGTTTTAGAAACATGTATACTCCTAAATACATAAGTAAGTCTGTAGCAAACAAAAAGAAACAACCCAATGTTGGTGAAGTGTCAATACTTAAAAGTGGAAATATTAGAATGAGTGTGTAAGGGCTGAAATTGGCTGCAAATCTCAAGAGGAATTACACAATATCATTTACAGAGACCTTCTCGAGATTTTAGTTCTTCTAAAGATAACTATTCTCCGGTAATTATTCTACAGTAATGTATGGGATATTTATTTCCCCTGGATGTGTCATTTCTTTTTCACCAGACTATATATACTTTCCTCAATCAAAGAGCACTTTCTTATTAGTGAAATGAGAGGCGTGATGTTTTCTGATAAAATACCTATGTCTATAAAATGGCTAGAAAGTAATGCCCACCTTTCCTTTGGGACTGTTACATAGATTGTCTGTAGCTAGCACATACTCTCCAGGCTTCCTGAAATATTGATTGGAGTAATGGGTTTTTATTGATGTGTCATTTTTTCCACAAGACAAATAAGAGGTCTCTGGAACCAAACTGAATGTGCTTTGGAAGCTACTAATGAGAAGCTCCTTATGACAAATAGATAAACTTAGAGGGGTCTAGAGGTCTTCCAAATCATACTACTAAATCATCGACTTTCGCAATCAGTTGGCATCTTCAAAACCATATCCTGGGAGGTTTCCTGGTTGCTGCCTTTTCCACTTTCAAGCTAAGTCCAACAATTCACATTCCTGCTTTTCTCTTTCCTCATCCTGCCTTTACTCATAATTTCACGTCTAGCCTGAGATTCCTGTTCTCCTCGTCCCCTCTTAAACAAAGGTACTTTATCTTCTCAAATATATTATTTCAACGTATAATTGCTTAACCAGAATTCAATGGCTGTCTAACAAGACCATATGCCTCTCTTGATAGAGATATTTTGGCCCTGAGCCAATACTTCCTCAGCCTGAAGTCGATAAAAACATTCCAGGCATTTGGTCCTCCCATTTTCCGTCCCACAAGAAAACAGAAAGCAGTAAAACACATTGTTATTTAGAGATATTTCTCTGTACCGACTTGTGAAACAATGATGTTTTTTCTCTTTTCTCCATATTTATTATCTGTCTAGACACTAAGAGTATAGATATCTTTTATTCCCAGAAGCTGTCTGCTGAATATCAACTGAACAGTGTGTGAGTGTGTGTGTGTGAGAGAGACAGAGAGATGTGGCTGTGGTGTATGGGATGTGGCTGTGGGTGTGTGGTATACATGTATATGCACTTATATACATTTGTACATGCACACATATATGTGTGTGTGGAGAGAGTTAAGGAGCAGCAGGGTAAATTATTCCTGTAACTGTAAATCCTAACACTTGATCCCCAGCTCAGCCTCTAGCCTCTACTAAATTTCAGATCACATTAATAACATTGCTTTTTCAACGCTTCCTTCTTAATCTCCCTTAATAGCCCAGAAATAGACTTGTTAAATATTAAAAGGTTCAACTTCTCTACTGGGGGCAAGACAAAAGCGAGAGGAGAGAAATTCTGAGCATAATAGTAAAGTCAAAGTTAATGATTCTCTGATTTCACAAAGGTTAAGACCCATAGTCTCCATGTAACAATGCTTAAAATGCTCTCCAGTCCTCATCGATCCTGACTCACTACCCACTCCCCCCACCCACAAATGAAATAAAAACTGGTTAATATCAGGAGCTAATTAATGGAGAAGCCTTTTATATTAAAGAATTGGGAAATTATTTAGTCTACCAACTCATATATATGTCCTATTGGTGGTGAGTAGATATAATGTCAATGTATTAATAGAATAGTTCATTTCAGTGTTGATCTTGCTTTCTTGCTTTGTGAAAGGTTGATTTTTAACCCAATTTTGTTCACACATTTTGTCTCTTTCCTAGAATAAATGTTAGTGTTTCTGCCTTATTGGTTTGCTAAAAGTGCTAGCTCTGCAATCACCAGTGTCCTAAGACCAATATTTTACTGGATTTAGGAACCATTTGATATAGTTATCACCATGTGCTGCTCTTTGGAAAAAGAAAAAGCCATGCCAACATTTGTATAGCACGCAGAGACCCAAAGAACCCTATGTAGTGCTTTTTATTCTGGTTTGGGGCATATAACAGCTTTCTGATGGATGAAAACCAAGCAAGTAATTTTGCTTTACCAAATAGCTCTCAATGAAAATGATCATTCTATTTTCTTACGGGAAAAGAAAGGAGGTTCAGGGGATTTTTTTTTCAATGATGTCTGTCTATTCACTTAATCTCTTACAAAATAAGCTTGCCAAAATCTGAGAACTAATTCTGCCACTCCCAGTATACACATTTTATTTAAATACATCAATAAGCCACTCAACTGGAAAAACACGATGTGAACTTAATACACAAACATATATACGTCTATATGATCTTTGCCCATATGAATATGATCTTATTTTAAAAAAATAGAAACAAGTGAATATTCAACTTTGTATATTTAAACTTTCACTCAACCAAATATGAACAGTTTTATATTTCTCATTGGAATCTCTATGACAATATAGCTTTTCCAATAAGGTTGCATTAAAATATATTAAACTAGTTTGCTGTTTTCAGACATGTATGCTATTTCTAATTCTCATAATCAAAACAAAACTTAGTGAATATTGTTTCATATAAAGGCATTAGTAGTGCCTATGAAAAAGGTATAGAAGGGAAAATTTTGCATATGGGATATTTTATATTTTTTGGCACAATCACTAATCCTGGTTTTATTACATTTGATAAATAATTGTCTTTTTAAAGGAGAAATGTAAAATCATTGATGTTTTTATTTGAATTATTCTAAGTATGAAGTGAAATATATTTTAGCATGATTAATTGTTATATAATTTTAGCCTTTCAAATTGTGTGTACTCATTAACTTTTCCAAGTTTCAGCTGGAGCATGCATTGTTTTTATACAACTTTAGAAGTGGTTTAGTCTGTTAGATATGTGACACATAGTGTCCCTCATTTTCTTTTGCATTTTATGTTTATGCTTGATTTTGTATCACATTCAAAATGTCACATTTTGATTTCTACCAACTAGTTTCTGTTTCTATTATATTTTTATTTGTATCCAATTTTAAAATTGTCCACAAACAGATCAATGCATGTTCTAATTTATATTTTCTGATGTTTAATTTAGCTTTTGTTTCTTTTATTTTTGATGTTTGATCATTTAATGTCTGAAATTTACATTAGTGTAGGATGTAAGGTAGGTGTCAAAATGTGAATAATCTACATCCTTTGGGAAGCACTAAGATGAGCTCTCAAGCTAAGGTCATCCATTGGAAGAATGCCACATTTTGCAGCAAAGGGGCTATAAGGGTCCCATTACCATGCTCAGTCAGCCATTTGATGAAAGTTTGGCCTTTGTGAGAATATAATTACAACTCCCAAAAGGAGGTTGCTGAGACCTTTTCATGGCCACCAACACTGTGTCTTTGATGCAAAGTTCTACTGCTCTATGTAGACTTATATAGCAGCTTCATGGTGTCTATGTTTTCTCTTTCTGAAGTGACACTTAGAAGAGGAAGTTTAGCAGAACAAAATACAACCCTTGTCATGTCACTGAATGTGATCTCTTGGTCACAAATGGCATTTATCCTCTTTCTCCCACACTATTTATTCAGACTTCCTCTCAACCTCAGATATTACCTTGGTAGATATTGGTGGCTTGCCTGGTTCTGTAATCCAAACATTCATTTGTGATGTGTCTGAACCCTGGGCAATCATATGCTTCTCAAATCAAGGTTGTTGCACCTGCCCATTTCAGTTATAATGTCCCAGCTGAGTATAGGAAGTACCTAAATGCATCACCTGGCTTCCACACATATGCCTTTTTGCCCTCATTGTGTTACAGAAGCCATGATGGTGAATTATCTTCTCATCTGCTGGTCCATGGACACAATGTCTAAAGAGATTCATGGAATATTACATTGTAAAAATGTGTCTTTTAGGGGAGTCTATACCTCCAATTCTTCCAGAAGAGGAGCTCAAAGTCCTCCAGTTGCTAATTGGAAATTGTGGTAACTAGAAACTCTCCTGTTTCTATCTCTTGGTTTCTAGACCCATATATCATTGTTGTGTAAGATACAACACTACATAGATGTCTGCGATTTAATGCCTATGCAGTCAATCTTCAGAATCCATGGATTCTGTTTATGCATATTTATCCAAGCACTAATTGAAAATATTCAAAACAAATAAATATAGCAATACAAAATAACACAAACAAAAGACATAGCATAACAATAATTTATATAACATTTACGTTGTAGTATGTATTACAAGTAATCTAAAAAGAATTTCAAGTATAAAGAATGCTGTGAGTACATTATGTATAAATATGACCCCATTTTATATAAAATGCTTAAGGACCTACAGATTTCGGTATGGAAAAAGGACCTGGAACCATCCCTGAAGGTACTGAGGGATGACT